TAACAAGGAGGCTAAAGACCATGGTTTTTAGCGTCTGTCGTTCAAACACCTATTGAGGTCAGAGGAGTGAGGTTTACTTTCATAGCACTTCGCTAGCTGGCCTCCATTACACTCACTTGCTTAAACCTTACTCCTATCCCAGACGAGCCCCTACGTGTAACCCACTGGTCCTACTGCAACCAATTCAGTCTGAGCTGGGGTCGAACTGGGGATTCATTGTATCGGTGTCGTTTGCTCTAACAAGGAGGCTAAAGACCATTGTCTCTAGCGTTCAATAGTATCTGGATGCAGCCTTTATGATGCAAGCTGAGATTGCATCACTCAGCGATGCAATGTCAGACGCAATGCACTCAATGGAGTGAGTGACATCACTGTGACGGGTAGGGTTGGGGGTGGGGTTAGGTAAGCGCATTAAAAAGCATTGGATGCAGCTCAGATTGCACTGCACCGAGTCTGCAGCCAGACGCCTCTCCTAGCGTCTGTCACTAGAGCACCTTTTGAGGTCAGAGTGAGGTTAACCTGCAGAGCACTTTGCTAGCTGGCCTCCGTTACACTCACCCCCTAAGCCTCACTCCCATCCCGGACGAGCCCCCATGTGTAACCCATAAGTCCTACTGCACTCAACCCATTTTGAGCTGGGATCAAAATGGCGATCCTTTGAATGGGCGTTGGTTGCTCTAACAAGGAGGCTAAAGACCATAACCTCCAGTGTCTGTTGCCAGAGCACATTTTGAGGTTAGAGCACTGAGGTTTACCTGCATAGCACTTCGCTAGCTGGCCTCCATTACACTCACTTGCTTAAACCTTACTCCTATCCCAGATGAGCCCCTACGTGTAACCCACTGGTCCTACTGCACCCAACTCAGTCTGAGCTGGGGTCGAACTTGGGATTCATTGTATTGGTGTCGTTTGCTCTAACAAGAAGGCTAAAGACCATGACCTCCAGTGTCTGTTGCCAGAGCACATTTTGAGGTTAGAGCACTGAGGTTTACCTGCATAGCACTTCACTAGCTGGCCTCCATTACACTCACCCCAATAAACCACATTCCTATCCCAGACGAGCCCCCACATGTAACCCATTGGTCTTAGGGCCTACTCACACTATGCCATCCGTACCGTGCCCAGGCCCGTTTCCCGGATCGTTTGAGAAGTGTGAGTGTGCTGAATCTGGCTCAAGCACGGTTCACTTGGCCGGCCCTGGCCCGGTTGGAAGAGGTGGGCCTGAGCGCGGTTCACTTGGGCTTTGGCACGGTACGCTTGTGTGTGAGTGCAAAACGAGCCAAAGCCCGAAACTGAAAGCGAGACGTGACTTTTAAGGGACTGTTTCATATGGATTTATTAATCATTCTTACTGTTCAGTGAACGCAAACTGCCGTCATTTATTAAAGACGAGAACTCCTCACTGCACGACAGCTGCGCGGCTTCAGCAGACCTCCTCATTCCTGCAGCACGAGAGCTTTATGATTGTTTATGAGCGCCAAAAGTGGCGGATCTGTTCGGCGAAATATCTGACTGCGTGTCACCGCATCCCTAAGGACTGTTTGGCGAAATATTTCACGGCATATCAAACGACTGACACGATATAACTAGAGAAATCTCCACTGTGCTGCTGAGTGAGAGAGCGCTTTTCACTGAACAGCCCAGCAGCGATGACGCAAGCGTGCCGAAGCCCGTTTATGGTGTGAGCGCTGGCCGTTGTGGGAGACGGGAGGGGGGACAAGCGTGCTTTGGCCCGGTTCGAGGCAACTGTACCTAGTGTGAGTACGGCCTTACTGCACCCAACCCGGTCTGAGCTGGGATCGAACCGACAGATCATTTTATGGGAGTCGGTTGATCTAACAAAGACGCTAAAGACCATGGCCTCTAGCGTCTGTCACCTTTTGAGGTTAGAGGAGTGAGGTTTTTATCTGCATAGCACTTCGCTAGCTAGCCTCTGTTACACTCACCTCCCTAAACCTCACTCCCATCCCGCACTGACCTCCGTTACATATTATTTCAAACTACTAAAATGCCAATAAAAGTCAAACTATGGAGTTGAAGTTTCAACATCAAAAGTCGACAAAGCGGAAATCAACATCCCATAATGCAATTCACAACCATAATTAAACAGAAAATACAGAAACTATTAAATAATGCGTATTTAACCAGTGTATTTACTTGTCAACTAGCTAAATTAACTATGTTTTTTAATCAGATATGTGTATTTTGTTTCAAGCAAAATGAAATGAGGTACCAAAATTGTGTTAGATTTAGTTAAGTAGAATTTTACCATTTCTTTTATAACACTAGAATGAATTATATCTGTTAACTGAATTCTTACAGTACATGCTTAACTTTTTACCAGCCATCCACAGGTAAACCTTCCCCAGCTTTCTACTGTTTTAATCAATAAGTTTCCTTTATGAGTGATAATGTAGTGGTCTTATTATATTTTACAGTGACCTAGAATGTATCTGGGGTGGACTATTCCATTCCTGCTAGATCTAGAAAGCCATTTGGCCACATTTAGTGTCAGCTCTCACTGTTAATCTTCAGGTTAAAACACTGTGTTATCATTTAATTGCAATTAGCGCCTGTGCATTTTCTCCGGGATTGGACTTTTTCACCCTTGAGAAGATACATTGCACAGCCGGTGTTCAGTGCATGCGACTTCATCTTGAGATCTGTGTCTCTCTTTGTGTGTATATGTGTGTTTAGAAGAGTTTTAACCCTGTTTGTCTTCATTTTTTCCCCATTTTTTGTATTCCGTAGCTTTGTATTTGTGTGATTATGTGTATTTTCTGTTAAAGCATTTCTATATCTTAACGGAATAGTTCACACCCAATGAAATGAAGATTTGCAGAATATTTTACTAACTCGCTGGCTCTCAGAGATGTAAACGAGTTTGTTTTTCATCAGAACAGATTCGGAAAGATTTTAGCATTACATTGGCGATGAATTCGGAAAGGAACATCAGTGCAGTTTATCATGGTGTAGTTTCACAGATCACATCCAAATGAGGTCTAAAGATTTTAATACTCAGATTTTGCCGCAGTTGATGACACAAACTTACCAAAGTAAAGACAATTTTAAAAGCCCCCCCTTTCCCCATTTCAATTTTATCCGGGAGGGCCCCCCCCCCCCCCCCCCCCCCACTCTTCACTTTTAGCCACAACACCCCATGACCCAATTACAGTTGAGTTTAGGGGCAGGGCTTGGGTGCCACGCCTACTTTTTTAAATCTTATGTTTTCATTCGTACATTTCGTACATTTACACACTAAGCCCCAACCCACCCCCAACAGTGTACCTTCTGAAAAGGTATGACCCCAATTACTGATTTTAACCCTTTATTTCTGATATTGAAAACTAGGATTCGTAGAGGGCACCAGGTTTATTTTTGCCTGCCTATTAGGGAGAATTGTCATAAAGCCAAAATATTTTCAATATAGTTCATTTTGGCAACCATCCAAACTTTTGTTTTACAATCTAGATAGCCTGTATTTGACCATTTGACTTTATTTTCATTGAATAAATTAAATAAAATATTTGAATGCCGTCATTTTTAACCATCTTTTTTTTTTTTTTTTTTTTTTTACCATGAACTATTTGCGTCTTTGTAATTAGGCCTATATATTTTTGTGGTAACACTGTCACCTCCTGTTTATAGTTCTAATATAGCAATAGGTCCCAAGAAGCCATGGTATACATTGGAAACGCCAAGGGGCTTTAACTGTTATAAAATCATTGTAAACCACATGATCATGGAGCTTATTGCTTTTCTATAAGGTTTATTCCATAGCAGTGTTTCACAAAATACAAAAAAAGCTAATTCCTTCATTCATTCATTTCTTTTCAGCTTAGTCCCTTTATTAATCTGGGGTCGCCACAGCGGAATGAACCGCCAACTTATTCAGCATATGTTTTACCCATGACTGGGAAACACACACTAATTCCCACACTCATACACTACGGTCAAATTTAGCATATCCAATTCACCTGCACCACATGTCTTTGGACTCGTGGGGGAAGCCGGAGCACCCGAAGGAAACCCACGCGAACACGGGGAGAACATGCAAACTATGCTATGCATGCAAAGAGTTTATTTAGCTCAGAACTGATAGCATAATAGTAACTAAGCAACACACAGATGTATGTTTCAGACTGAGAAATAAAACTACAAAGTTTGTCACTGGGGCGATACTTTTTCAAAGGGTACACTTTTGCACCATACAGGAAGATGGTAGTACCTTTGCGATACACATTTGTACCTTTAAGGTCTATTTTTGTACCTTTAAGGTTTACTTTTGTTCTCTTAAGTTACCATAAGATGGAACGTTGAGAGAAGTCAGCTGAGGTGGCTCTGGCATCTGTTTCGGATGCCTCCTAGACGCCTACCTAGGTAGGTGTTCCAGGCATGTCCCACTGGGAGGAGGCCTTGGGGAAGACCCTGGACACGCTGGAAGGACTATGTCCCTTGGTTGGCCTAGGAATGCCTCAGGATCCCCTGGAGGTGCTGGAGGAAGTGTCTGGGGATTGGGAAGTCTGGGGTTTTCTTCTTAGACTGCTGTCCCCGCGACCTAGCCCCGGAAAAGCGAATAAAAATGAATGAATGAATAAAAGTTAATGAGGTACATATTTGTACTCTTAAAGTATTAATATGTACCTTTGAGTACCTGTTAGGAATAAAAATGTACCTTTTGAAAAGGTACTGCCCAGTGATAGATTTTGTACCTTTATTTCTGAGAGTGCTGTAGATTATTTTACAACAGCTTAAGAATCGAGCACTCAGAAACAAGGACCAGAAATCTAGCATGAACTACTGGTCTCCGAATCTGTTCTGATGAAGAAAACAAACTCATTTAGATCTTAGATGAACAGAGGGTGAGTAAATATTCAGCAAATGTTCATTGATGGGTGACTTATTCCTTTAAGTTTTCTCAGATGTGTATTTACAAAGCTTTGCTTTCTGATGAGTTTATTTTTCTAACAAAATCATTTTATCTCTGTTTTTGTCCGCAGTGTTAAGTTTCTAGCATTTGGCAATTCTTTTAAGGAGACGCGGTTAGTCGCTGAATCCTGACAGTTTTGCCGATGGGGTCGTACCATCCACACAGGACATGAGAGGAATGTCGGACTGGCAAGAGGGTGAGACTGGAAAAAAATAAAGCTAAATATTATATATGTATATGTAAGGAAGGAAACTGGAATTTTCCAAGGCCGGATCTTCACATGGTAACCAAAGCAACCTCACCGAAATTCCGGATCACTCCTCTTTCTACAGACTGACTGACTTTACAGCAACAAAACCGAACATTGCACTGACACCTGAAAGAGGAAAAAGACTCTTGAAGGAACGAACGGAAAAACAAAAAAAACATTCCAATGATTTAAGATCAAAAGACCAGGCGTTTTGACTGCGGTGCTCACCTGGGCCCTGAGTTTCTGTATATTAGCCTATATGTAAGAATGAAGGACCAAGTTAGAATAATTATGTAGCATTTCTGCTAAGACCTTGTAGCATTTCTTGGCTGGGAGAAACTCTCCAGAGACTTTTTACAGACTGATATTTCATTGACCGTTTGCACAGAATGACTAAAAATGGCTTAGTCATGCACAATTTCTTTCTTCTTTTCTTCCCCCACTCAGCATATTAGCAGCAAAAATGTGTTGTTCGTGCATTGCCGTGTGGTAGTTCCCACTCTCCGTCCCAGAAAAAAACAAAACAAAAGTCTGAGTCTTAGAGTAGCTTTTCTTTGTGAATGAATCTAGAGCACTGAAAAGTGAAACGCAGCACTCTGCTTTGGTACGTTGCTATTCCCAAAACAGTCTTCCAGTTTTTTCCCCCAATGTCCAGGGGAGGCAACATCGAAAACACAGTCCTGACAGACCAAAGCCCAACTGTGACCAAATAACGTAAGCTAAAATGGCACAAAATCACTTACGAAACAATGTTCCCTGCCAGATCTGAACTTTTTTGTCCCTTTAAATACTAACGGATTGGCTGTTCTGCCAGGGGTGCTGTCTTTATAATTCCCTTAAACAGAGGACTTCCCAAAGTGGAATTCCCCAATCTAGAGGTTTATTTTCTGATTTATTTAGTAAAGCTGATGCTGCCATAGATTATATACGTGCACATGCCAGTGCTTGGACCAATAAAAAGCGTTTTTGCTTTGTGGATAGAGGGTATAAAGGTTAGGGATGTGCGCTCCTGTAATCTCCCTTTCCGAGAGAAAAAAAATCGTCTATGTTAAGACGTGTCTAAAACTGCCTTCAGAGTTTCCCTCCATCTCTGTCTTCTTTCTCTCCTATTGGCTCGACAGCTTCGTTCCGTCTTAACTAATCAGAGGGAACGCGAGAAGTCAACAAGAATATATGACTACGTTTACATGGACATCAGTAATCGAACTACTTGCCTTAATCTGAATAAGATAATAATATGGTTAAGTTGTTTACATGAGTTGCTTTTCGAATGTTCCTTTCATAATCCTGTTTTACGTTATAGCGCATAATTCATATAACGTCATTGCGTCACTGCGCTATCCACTTTTCCTCTGGAGTTTCACGTAATTTTGGGTGTTTCATTTTTTTAATTTGTTGACTTTAACTGCAGTTTGGCACTAATAGCATTGTGTCACCACTCTATCCACATTTCCTCCAGAGTTTCATGTAATTTCAGGTTTCATTCTTTATTTTTCGACTTTAACTGCAGTTTGGCACTTTCATTCGGGAACATTTCATGCATGCCCCCCGTGACAAACTGAGATATTTAATGCGAGTACATCTGGAAGAGTGTAGTTTTAATGGAATTCGATACCGCACACCGTATGGGGAAAAAACCTCTGCAATTCACGATGCACTTAGATTATGAAGTCTGAATAAGGTGATCAAAAATCGCTGTTTACATGGTAGACTCTCAATGAGAGTATTGTCTTAATCGTATTAAAATTGGATTATTGGTGTCAGTATTGGTGTTTAATTTTTAATATGTTTGTTTGTTTACATGTCTGTTCTGCACTTAAATAATGCAACTAAAATCGGATTACTCCACGTCAAAATTGGATTTGTTTAGTTCGATTATAAGTCGGATTAGGGTCATCAAAAATCACTGTTTGCATGGTAGACTCTTAATCAGAGCATTGTCTTAATCGCATTAAAATCAGATTATTGATGTCCATGTAAATGTACTTAAATGTTAATGATTACGTTTACATGGACATCAGTAATCAAATTATTTGCCTTAATCTGAATAAGACAATAATATGATTAAGTTGTTTACATGAGTTGCTTTTTGAGTGTTCCTTTCATGATCCCGTTTTACATGTTAAAGCACTTAATTCCACTAACGTCATTGTGTCACTGCGCTATCCGCATTTCCTCTAGAGTTTCACATAATTTCGGGTGTTTCATTTTTAATTTGTCGACTTTAACTGCAGTTTGGCACTTTCATTGTCATTCAGGAACATTTCATGCATGCCCCCGTGACAAACTGAGGTATTTAATGCGAGTACATCTGGAAGAGTGTTGTTTTAGTGGAATTTGATATCGCACACCATATAGGGGAAAAACCTCCACATTACTTTATGCGGGTGTTCTTGGTCTATCACTGACTTGGACTCTGTGTCAAACAGCTATGTGTGTACAGACTATCCTGTCGCAGAATGCGGCAAAAATCCTACACAACGGTAATAGTTTGATTAAGGTGTTTACATAAATCAATAATGCGACTAAAATCGATATACTCTACATGTCTTAATGTCTTACATGTCTTCGATTATGACTTTAGTTGGATGAAGGTCATCAAAAATCACCGTTTACATGGTAGACTCTTAATCAGAGTAATGTCTTAATCGTATTAAAACCGGATTATTGGTGTCCATGTAAACGTACCCAATGTCGGAAAAAAAACAGAACTAATTTATATTTTGATAGGTAGTCGAATTGACATCTGGATGGTTCTCGAGGAATCACAGATGTCTGAATGCGACTGTAAAAATGCGATGGCGACCACCCTATTTACACAAAAAAGAAATGAACGAAAATATTATCGCACTCTTTTTTTTTTGGTTTTGTTTTCGGAGGGAGGGTGCAAAAAAAAAAAACATGCTCCATTTAGAGATTGTTTCCTCAGACTGAACTGTGAGAAAATGGATGTCAAAATATACGCTAACGACAAAAAAAAAATACAAAAAAAAACTAACGAGAAAAAAAAAATACATGGAGAGATTAAAAAATGCATTTTTGTAACTTTGTTTACCAGCATGAGAAACTTTGCATGACTGTATTTTCTGCTCGCCCTTAGTTGAAGTGGGGAGGGCTAAAATAATAATAACAATTAAAAAAAGATGAAGATGTTAATAAAAATAAATAAAAAAAACATGATATGCAATGGATATTTAAGAAGAAAAATATATTTAAAAGAGCTATATTTTGTTTTGAAATAGAAAGAAAATGTGAATAAATTCTGACTTACACACAAGCACACACACACACACACACTGAACAGTTTTACTAGATTTAAAAGATTAAAAAAATACCACCAGAATCTGTTTGCTACATACTGCCCCGTGTTACATTCCCATCTTATTTTTTAGGTTCTGTATCTCTCTCTGTATGCTAAGCGATTCGTCCATCTTGTCTTTTATTGTAGACCTAATGCTAATGTTTGTCTACGTACAGCATTAGCTTCTTATGTAGCCATGAAAACAACTGTGCTGATGGCAGAATCTTCTGCGTTGGGGCTGATAGAGTTTCATTCTCAGTTCGATGTTCAAATGCTCTCATTGGCAATAATCTGAATGATAATCCAGAGATCTGTTGGATGGAGACTGTAGCAAAGCTAAGCGGAGTCTCGGCGTCTTCCTCACCAACAGATGCGGCGTTTTGAAGACTGTGTTTTTGTAGAGGCGTCGCGCCTCTAATCTCAGGTGAAAAACATGAATAATGTCAGTTTCACACCAGACCTCTGCCTGCTCGCTGTCATCTCGTCGGATCTGTTTTAATATCCCATTAAAAGTGGCCGTGTGACACTATTTAGTTGGGATACAGGGCTCGTGTCTTTATATTTAAATCCGATAGTGTTTCTCTTTTAGTGTTTTATCATCGCTAATGAATGTTATTGAAGTTTTAGGACAAAAAAATCTAAACTTTTAGCATTTAGCTTTAGGCTAACAGAATATATTCTTGTTAAATTTAATGATGCTAAAAGTTGTTTTGATTTTCCGAAGCCCAGACTAAAGCTAAACCTTTAGCATTTACTGTGGCTTAAATAGTTTAATGGAAGAGCTCATGATTTAGTTCGAATTTTCAGTTTTACCCAGGTGTCTCAGGTCACTAGCTTAATGCTAAACATTTAGCATTCAGCATTAGGCTATTAGTCAAGTTAAATAAGTGTATCTGTAATATTGAAAACTGAATGAGCAACATTACATGAGTAGCGGTGCAATATGGCTGTATATCGGCACTTGTGGGAAGCGTGCGTTGGTTCGAGGCTGCAGGGGCGTCAGCATCAACGCTTCGCGTTCACTTTAAATGGGTGACGTCAGGCGTTGTCAAACTGCATTGTGGATCTGTTGGCGGCACTTCAGTGGCGTTGCTCGCTGCAGAAGTTGGAATTTTCTCATCTCTAAGCGCCAACGAAAGCGTCAGCCAATCAGATCGCTGTATGCAAATACACCAGCTCAGACAGTAGCTGGTTATGGACTATTTTCATTGGCTGACGCTGCTATGACAATCGCGTCAGCCCTAATTTCAGACACACCTTCTGTCAAATGTTGACGCTCAGGCCCCGTGTGAATCGGGCGTTAGTGTCCCACCAGTGACTATATACAGCCATATTGTACTGCTACTCATGTGATATTGCATTTATACAGCAGTTCGATGGCATAATCGTGTATATAAAAAAGAAAATCAAACAGTGTGTCTCAAAAATACTTTTGTATGAGGAACTACTTCCTTCCGCCGTTCATTCACATCTGCAGCTGACGTCAGAACAGCAGAGATCATTGTTCATTCACCAACGTCACTTTAGAGCTAGTGTTTGAATGATTCTCCAGCGTAATGTCTAAAGTGATGACTCAACAGCTGATTTTGCTGACATTTTAAGATTATAAGGCTGAGCAGCATGAAATGCCATCAGTCTACAGAGATTTCCCAGTATTTTTCTGTTGCAATCGGGAGATCACAATAATTAACCCAGAAAAAGCTAAAGCAAAGCAAACACTAACAGATTACTATTATAATATCTATAAATCCAGCACTGCAACTTATTATACGGTCTCTGTCTCCATCTTGTGGCGGAACTTCAACCATCTTTGCTCTGCTCAGTATGACAGGCTGATGGCCGCGAATGTGCTGAATCTCAGAAATATTTAATATTTAAAATAGGCTCTATCCTTATAAATAATCTGCATAGTTGCAATCTAAACAACTACATTCTTGCTTGAAAAAGCTTCAAAAGTATATATGTTGTCCAACAGCTGCAATATTTGACAAACTGCAGTGAGTTGTTTAGTCCCTCTTTAGTCCTTGTGTGGGCGAACTAATTCACAAGAGTGAAGAAGCTTTATGAGTGCTGATGATGCTTTAATATCTCACGACTCTCAGCCAATCAGATTTAAGAACCAGACAGAACTGTTGTATAAATTAAAACAGGTAAGTTTAGTCATGCTAATTTGATGTCATAAAATGCTATGTTTTTACTCACTTGAAATATTAGCATTTAGCTTTAGCCTGATGCAAGATATTTAATGTTGCCTACTATTAAAATAACTTACTAATTCCACTCATGCACATCAGATGTCCACACAAGTTTCACCCAACATGTTTGTCCGAAAATGTTTTGGTTGTAGCTTGGAGCGCCAGGTTAAAGTTAAACATTTAGCACTTTAGCTAATAAATGTGTTTATCCTTCATTCTGTAACCGCCTACAGAATGCTAACCATGCTAAAATGTTAACTTTTACTCATGTTTATTGTTGAAGGATTTTTGTTTGTTGTAAAAATAAACCTAGCTTTATGCTAATAAAAACATCACAATCACTGAAGCTAAATGTGTTCGATATAGACTACCAAATTTTAAAAGCTAACTCCCTGTTCTTTTATTGTCCTAAAATATTTTACCAAACTTGTTTATCATATCAGTTTTTCTTTGTATCTCAGGATCTTTTAGCTGGGCTAAAAGTAAACCGTTAGCATTTAGCCACCACCTGCTTAGATCTGGGACTCACTCAGTAGCATTGTAGCACCGCAGCTAATCTGTGAGCATTAGCACAATCGCATTTACAACACGATTGTGCAACAAAAGTAAGAGTCCTATGCAAAACATGTTAGCTATTGATTTCGTAATGTCCATCAATCCTACTCTGTCAAATAACACTTATGTGGACATTTATTCATGTAGACGATAATATATGAACGCTAGCAGCCAATTGACTTCGAAGTTCACTGTGTTACGATAAATGAGAAGCATCTGCTAGTTAGCAAATGGACAGCAGGGTTCCCTTTTATTTGAAAAACTTCAAGCCCATCAAAAATCTTATTTTTACTTACGAGATGTCTTAAAGTTTTGATTTAGAATATTTAAATAAGCCTATTTTATTAGCGCTTTTAAAAACAATGATTTATTGTGGATTTGTTATATTTTTGCAACATTTACGACAGCATATTATATTATATACTGTCTTTTGCAACAAAAGCCAGCGTAATTAATATGTGTTGTATTGTAAGTCCATTATTTTTGTTCGTTGGGGGGTGTAATAATTAGCATTTTTAGTGTGCGGCCAGCTGACGTCAAGTTTGTCGGAGTAGAAAGTAAATTAGCTACTAATGATACTAGTAATTGTTGACTGGAGCATTACTTTTTAATAAAAAGCATTGCAATTATATTAGAAAAGGTTGATTATATTGATATATCTATCCTTCAGGTTAGTCCCTGATTTAGCAGAGGTCGCCACAGTGGAATGAGCCATCAATTACTTTAGTATGCTTTATGCGGCGGATTCTCTTCCAGCCGCAAACCTAAGAATATGAAATAAATAAATAATAATACATGTATATCACAGCTATGATCTTACCGATAGAATGGGAATAATACAAATACTGTTGATTCACAAATGTATTTGTATTATTCACATTCTATTGGTAAAGTCATAGCTGTGATCTACATGCATTATTATTTATTTATTTCATAGTTTGTGCTCAGCAAAATGTCTGATTATGGTTGAAGGTCTCTGCACACTGAAGTCCGAAAGTTTTGTTTGCGTTTTTTTTTTTTTTTTGTAATCGTATGCGACAAATTTGTCACGAAAACAAAACTTCCACACTGAGTTTGATGCGTATTAATTAATCCATGGTTAAATTTTTTTATGACTGACGTTCGTTGGTGGTGTGTCAAAACAACTGACACAACGTGAGGTCGAAATAATTTTTTTACATGCGAAAATTACAGACAAAAATTTTGGGTTCAGTGTGCAAAAACCTTAAAAGTCTTTATACACTGAAGTCCGAAATTTTCGTATGCGTTTTTTATAGTAATGGTATGCGAAACATTCGGCATGTAAACAAACCGTGAACACTGAGTCTGATGCGTATTAAAAATCCATTATGAGAAGACGCAAAATATTTCAGAGTAAGTTCAAGCAGTAATACTTTTTTCTCCTCTTTCTTTTCCAAAGTAGAAACAGAAAGAATAGGTCGCATATTGTGTTCATCCAAAACTAGCCCACATAGAGAGGAAGGAGAGCTCAGCTCATTATCAAAGAGCTGCGCTACGATTAACCCAAAGTGCAAAATGCAATGTTTGTGATACTTCACACTTTCACATACAGTACGTAAACAAATCCTGACCAGAGACTGGCAGTACCTATAGACATTATATTAGATGGCGTTCGCGTTGACGTGTCAAAGCAACGAAACGAAAACGGACCATGCTTTCTATTATAATGTATATGGAGCCACAGAATCCAGCATATAGGGGTTTTCAACTGTCTGCCACATTCTGTCTTTATTTTATGCAGTGTGTTTGTCGTGAAGTTATCTGTAACTCAAATGACAGCATTCTGTATTTAGCTTTTTTCTTGTACAGGGGCTCTAAACTGTCGAAACACCTTTCAAAATGCTTTTTCGGATGTGAAAAACAGAAAAAAAAATACGATTTAGATTTTTTTTATGACGGACGGAAGTTTCGTAGGCGGTATGTCAATATGATTTACACGAGAGGTTGAATTTAATTTTTACTTGCGAAAAGTACGGACAAAAATTTCTGATTCAGTGTGCAATAACCTTAAGCCAACAAAATCGTAGAAAATTCTGAGATATCACCCCTAATGTACACTAAAGATTAAATGTCATAACAAAAAGTCAAGACAACAAATGTCTGTGTGTTGCTTTAACAAGTTAATGATGTTTCAACTCAGTGTTGTAAGTCCGACTTAATATTTTTTAGTCAGTTTGATTGATGTATACTGAGATGACTAAAAAAGTTTGTTTGATCGTAGCTTCTAAAAAAGTTAAGGCAAAAATGTAATTACTCCAGTTCTTAAATAAAGGTCTTCAAAAGTCTTTTTAATCACTCGTTGGGAAAGGAAGAGAGCGTGATGAATGTCGGCAGGCATTGGTCCGGTGTCCGGTGTGACCGTGATATTTCACATTACATCCTCTGCTGTTTGCTGGAAGCGGACATTCGACCTTTAGCAGAAAGACAACATGACACAGCGAATATTTTTGAAACCTTAGCAAGCGAAAATGAGACGTCTCGCGCCGGGGTCACAGCGTCCAGAATGAAACCTTATAGCCCGAAGAGCTCAAAAAAAAAAAAAAAAAAAAAAGAAGAAGCAGTCCTGCATATTTATAGTTTTATAAATGCTTTTGTTTATCAACTGAATGAATAATTTATATTTTATACAGAGTTCCGTTTTTTTTCTTGTTGCATTTCAAAGAGTGTTCATATTTTTTACAACCACTTTGTGTCCAGAAAGAGCCAGTGTTTGGGTTTATTTTAAGCGCACTTCACTGCAGAATAAATAAATAAATGATTACCCGTGTGTTTCCAGCAGGAACATGGCGGCTCTCGTCCTCACCGAGCGCTGATGTTGTTGTTGTTTTTTCCCGCCCATTTTTGGTTTCTGAGGCGAGTTGAGCTCGTCTTTTTGTCGTGTATGAATCTGGGTGTTTCTGCATCTGATGGTCTGATTTTGTTCACTGCCTGCTCTTGTATCAGATGTCAGTTCGATCACTCGTTTACTGTGTTACGTTTGAGTTGATGTACTTGAATTTCAGATATGCAATCACCACCTCTCTGACCACTGCCAATCATCCCGATCAATCAACATGATCAGTAATCAATAATTAAAGTGATTAACAAACATCCACAGGGTTTCTTTGTTGTTTGTATGTATGAACTGTGTTAATGTATTTTGCTATTGCATATGGTTTATTTAAAAGAAAATTAAGGTTCACTTTACTGACATGAAAAATTAATACATTTATTACATATATGAATCTTTTTTATTGCTGTTCTTTGTTTTAATTTTGATAATTGTGGGTGTTTTATTTAAAAGAGAATTAAGCTGGTAACTCTTTAACCATAGGTTTCCATTAGATAGTTCATTTACTGACAAAATAATAATGAGCTATACATTTATTACACTGTTTATTCATCTTTTTTTATTGCTGTGCTTTGTTTGTTTGTATTAATTTTGATAATTGCAGATGTTTTATTTAAAAGAGAATAAAGCTACTAACACTTAATTAAACCAAAGGTTTTTATTAGTTAGCTTGTATATTTACTGACAATATGAATGAATTACACTATTTATCTTTTCGTAATGTTATTAAATTAATTCAAAAGTTAAAAAGAACCACTTTATTTTAACGTTAACAAACACTGCTTTGGATTCTAATAATGCATGCTTTAATTTTTTTAGTAAGTACATTAGCAAATGGAAGCTTATAGTTTGACCTGAAAAAATAAATACAATTTTTATATATATATATATATATATATATATATATATATATATATATATATATATATATATACAAATTAAAGCATTGTATTATTTAAAAGATATTTCTATTTTTAGCAAGCATATACATTGTTAAATTAAGGATTTTACACTGCTTGGAAAAATGGCAAATGCTGGGAATGACAAGATTTTGTTTTTTAAAAATCAATGAAAATGTATTCAACAAAAAAAATTGATAATTATCAGCATTATCGGCATTTTTATTAGTATTATTATTAACACACACAAAATCGATTATTGAAAAATCTAAACTGAAGATTGAATAAATGATGGTAAAAAATAATTACATTTGACAATAAATTTCACTAATCGAACGTAATTCTAATTATTAAAATAATTGTAATTAATTAATTATTAAAACTTCTAATCGTAATTCATATAATAGATTTAAAAAATATTACAGTAGTTATTCATCTTTTTAATGTTACTAAATAAAAATAAAGTGGTTCATTAATTCTTAACTTACAGATGAGTTAATGTTAACAAACACTGCTTTAGATTTTAATAATGCTGAACTATGATTATTAAATGCTTTACGTTAAGTACATTAGCAAATGGAAGCTTATTGTAAAGTTTGACCAGAAATATTAAAGAATATAAAAAATGTTCCACAACCCAGCCAATATAAAAGCATTTTGCCATTAAGGAATAGATGTATGCATTTTATGTTATGTATTTTAATGCATTTGATACATGTACTGATTAAAAAAAAAAAAAATTCTTAAAGACCAATAACAGCAAGGCATATGTTCAGATTTAATAACTCATATAACATTAAAGCAAAAAAATATATATTTATCCACACATTTCAAAACTGATTATTGATTGTGACGCACATAAAACAAATCCCTTAAATCAGTCCGCAAGCTTTATTTTGTTAATAAAACCACTTCATTAATGTATTTAAGTGCGGTATGAAACTCTCCCCATGTCAATAAAGATTACAATAAACAATCAAAAAGATGCAAAAGGTTAGCCAGAAACACAAGAGCTCTGATGTTCGTTATTGATTCTTCCTCCAAATGGCAAACAAACATCCAAAACAACACAAAAATAAATATTTCAACAACTGACCCCATAATGACACACTTTCAGTAAGGAAGAAATTCCGGCACACGTTCTTTACCGCATGATTAAACCCAAGTCTATAATATTATTTCCCTTTAAAGGGATAGTTCACACACAAATTGAATTCAGCTATCATTTACTTGCTCCAAACCTGTTTGAGTTTATCCAGTTGAGCACAAAAGATATTTTGAAGAATGCTTGAAACCTGTAACCATCGGCTTCAATAGTATTTGTATTTCTACTATGGAAGTTTGTTGTAACCGGTTTTCAGCATTCTTCAAAATAACTTTTTTTTGTGTTCAACATTTTTACAACTTTGTAAGCATTTTTTTATAAAGCTACTTCATTTTGTTTTCTCACTCAAGTGAATAAAACATGAACACAAAAGAAAATACTTTGAAGAATGCTTGAAACCACTGACTTCCATATTAGAATAAAAATCTAATACCAATGAAAGTTAATAACAGGTTACAGGTTTCAAGCATTCTTCAAAATATCTTCTTTTTGTGTTTGACAGAAAAAAGAAACTCGTGAAGGTTTGAAACTACTTGAGAGAGAGTAAATAGTGAGTTAATTTTCATTTTAGGGTGAACGATCCCTCTTAAACCTCTTTTAAAACGGGTTAAAACATGCCCAATGTTTAGTGGCGTTTATATACACTAGTCAACATTTAAAGCGGATCAATAGAGTTTTTCAAAACTGTCCCCAGGTAAAAATGGCTGTTTAATAGTTTTAGAACTACTTTAACTGAAGGTTTTGATCTGCTTCAGAAGTTGAGTAGTATAGATGTTTCTTCAGTACTCCAGGCCTCTGATGTTGGCGATGGTGGCACTTAATCTTCGGGGTAGTGTTTTTGCCGTCTGCCGATACTCGTCCGGTTTGACACGGAGAAGAGTAACAATATTCTGAAGGGTCCTGGAGGTCTGCAGACCCAGTGCATCCATCACGTTACTCAGGTAATCTGCATCACCACCACAAAAAAACATATTATATATTATTAACTAATTAATCGCACCTTTTTAAAAAAATTAATCACGATTAATCGCATTTAAAATACTGAAACTTGTAATTTTGGCTATTTAAATGTAAAATTAATGTAAACGCAAGAAAAAAAATATTTAAATTCAAAATATAATTGTTTTATAGAATTTTTGTTTAACTTGTAACACAGATTTCTTCATGTAAACAACAAACCCACAATAAACCATCAAGATCCTGGCTTGACAGCCATATTTATTACAGAAATTAAACACAGGCATCTTAATGACATTTAAATTTCAAAACAATCAATGCCAATAAAGAAAACCTTGATTTCCATGTTGGATTCTAAGTGGACTGCAAAAAAATGCCAAAATACAGGAATTGCAGATATGGAAAATGAAAAATTATAATAATAAACTATAAAATACAAACTGTTGCACTCATTGTAAAGTTTTATTGCTGTGAGTTGAGAACATTAATTATAGAGTAGAAACAATTCTGCTTAATCCTCCTTTACATTCATCCAGTTGCTAAGACTAGGAGTATCCCGCAAGTGCACAGAGACTCCCAAATGCCCGCAAATGAATGATAATTTCTTGCAAACCGGTCGTTAAATACATTGCACACCCCTCTCGCCCCTACTCAGATACGTCGCTCACTCCACCCCTGACACAGACACACACACAACGCGCTGCAGACGTTTTGGCCCCAACGGCCTTCCATACTGGAGCGACTCCCCTCAGATTCAACACGCATGATCACGTTCATCAAATTTGCTAAGCGTCCTAAAGTATTACTGTATTTCACAATGATTCTGACACAACAACACGAAGCATACGCTTTCGTTGCGTTTAATGAGGAAACACGCTAAACTTGGAGGGCTCATGCTGAAAGGCAGTAATGCCCTGTCTTTGACAGCTCGCGACTTCACCAGACGTTCTGAGTACATTTACATAAGACACCAATACTCCGATTTTAATATGATTAAGATAATACTCTTCTACCGTGTAGCCTTAAAAGGAACCTTACCTTAAAGGAACACAGAGTCACGAAATGCGGAGGATTTTCTTTCTGTTCGCCATGCGGTATCAACTTACAACAGATGTCGAAAGTTAAAAATGAAACACCCGAAATTGCATCAAACTCTGGATAACCTGTGATGCAACTAATTGTTTTATACTGAAACTTGCCTTTAAAAAGTGCTTCCTTGGTCTTATCCACATTTATTGCATGTTGAACACATGTCCACCACAACAGGAAGTAAAAAAAAACCTGAACTGCGTTAATTGCGTTAATTTTTTTAACGCGTTAATTATTTAAAATTAATCGCATGCGTTAACGCGTTAATTTTGACAGCGATAATATATATATATATTAAGTATAACAATTATTTATAAACAATTTTTTATAAAACTACTTTTAAAATTTGGAAATTTTTATCATTTACTGCAAGTAGTTGTTTACTCAGTACTTTTAAACTGTGTTTCCTTCTGTTGAACACAAAAGAAGATATTTTGAAGAATGCTTGAAACCTGTAACCATTGACTTCTATAGTATTTGATTTTTCTACTATGGAACTAAATGGTTACAGCATTCTTCAAAATATCTTCTTTTCTGTTCCACTTATTTTTATGCACATTTTGGAATGTCCCATAAAAAAGACATGTATAGTCAAGTCCAAAATTATTCAAACCCCTGACAAATTCTGCCTTAAAGTTACTTTTATTCAACCAGCAAGTTTTTATTGACCAGAAATGACGCTGGCCTCTCCCAAATGATAATAAGAGGATGTACAAGAGACATCATTGTGGGAAAAATATATAATTCTCAGCTTTTATTTACATTTAAAGAAAAACTTTAAAGGCCCGTGCACACCGAGACGTTTTTTTGCTCGCGTTTTCTGTCGACGTTTGACGCCTCATAACTAAATAAAGGGTGTCAATGTGATTGAGCACACCAACGCACAAACCAGGCGCAAAAGTGTCATTTAAAAAAAAAAAAAAACGCCTCATGCTCGTTTTTTTGTTCTCCTCCAATCAGATCAGCACTTTTGCTCACGTGCACGAAGCTGCTAAAGTTACTGTAAACAGCACTTGGAGGCGCTCAAGCACAAAACTGTCAATGCGAGCGCACACTGAAGAAGATGCCCAGAGGCCATATGAACATGGAGCTGCTTATTGCTCTGTGAATACTAATCATTTCTTCATCGCTAGAGCTGGAGCTGCTGCTTCAACCATCTATGCTTGTTCGAGTCACCAGTAACTTTATAAACAAACGTGCAAACTTCCTCTCCTCCTCTTCTTCTGTGTTATAAGCGGATGTCAGAAGCTTAAAGTTGTGCAGCGCCATCTAACGTCAAAAGAGTGATTTAGCATACTCTTCAGCTTGACGCCAGTGAAAACCGCTTGGACACTGAAACACTGAAAAACGTCTCGTAAAACGCTGACGATAAACGCAATTAAAAAACGTCCCGGTGTGTAGGAGCCCTAAGTCTGAGTTTGCCAGGGCTATGAATAATTCCTGTATGTGTAGACATGTTTCAAGAAAAATAACAATTCAAAACAAGAACAATGGTGGAGAGTGCATTTTGAACAGGAACACCTCTGTAAATTTGAGCTGAAAATCTGCATGATGAATAAAGTAACAGCGTCCTCACCGATGTCAGTGGCGAGCTGTTTGGTGTGATGAGCGCTGAGTTCTGGAAGCTGCAGGATCACGTCGCAGTACGTCTGCATGGTGGCTCTGGCGATTGAACCCAGCCAATAATCAGCAGTGTTTTCCAGTTCTGGGACATCATCACCTACACACACACACACACACAATGTCAGAAAGAATACATTTCGAAGCATAATAGTTTTAAGAACTAATTTCAAATAACAGATTTATCTGATCGTTTATCCATGATGACAGCACATAATATTTGACTTGATATTTTTCAAGATTCTAGTATTCAGCTTAAAGTGACATCTAGGGCTCTTTTTTTACGGTCCATGCACACAACCGAAATCCATATTTGCTAATTTAAGGACGGGAAAATCCGCTTTGCGCCATGGCACATGGTCTAAAAGGGTTGAGTTTATTTTCTTATTGAGTAATAGGTGTGTTTTGAAAATAAACCAATCAGAGTCTCATCTCCCATTCTCTTTAAGAGCCAGCTGCGTCGCGCCATAAGCGCATTTGCTATTTACAGGACGTAAAGTAAGTGTAAGTGGAAAAACCGAGCATTTCACAAGCAAAAAAACAGTTAACAGTGAACAGGTTTTTTAACAGAAAACAGTTAAACAGAGCATCTACCGCTTAAGAATGAGAGATAAATGATCTACTTTCACTTTCGCTCTTGGATAGGGAAACCTTTACGCGCAGACATCAATTAGCCTATAAATAATTTATTTCGTTTGTTAAGCGCAAAGATTCGTTTCAAAACTATTTCTAAATTCAGTTCTAATGTCCAGCAAACAAATAAATGATTAATAATAACGAAGTGTGATCAAAAACCTGAGTTATATCCTAAAACACATGCTGCGCCCCATATGGTCTAAAACCTGACAGGTGGGCAAATCTAAGCTTGTTTTTAATAAAGCAAATATAAATATGGATATAATAAATAATACTGCTAATAATAATAATATTATACAAAAGCAAATTGTTATGAATGAACTGAAAAAGCCTCCCGAGACGAAGAAGGCAAAAAAGCAGTGGATTTTCATATTTATGTAGGCTAGAAAATAATGTTTTGTAATATTTTAATCCTTTATATTTATATTCTATATATATTCTTATTATATCCTATATATATCCTTAATATAAAATTTTTTCATATGTTAAGATATTTGCTTATTGCTCTACATCTTTTGTGTATTAAGCAGTGTGTAAGCGAGGCGCAACTCTGCGCTGGAGATTAGACCGGGTTTGTTTTGCTCTAATGAAAAATCTATTATAGTTTCTCAAAATAGCAACGCTCCAGCAGTGCGCCTCAGAACGCCTTCCTCTTTAGACCAGAACGCCTATGGGCGCACATATAAGCGCAAATGCATTTGCTATTTAAACAGCTTGGCGCAACACCTCAAAACAACTCTTGCACCAAGCTGAAACTAGCAAACAACTATTGCGCCGCGCCTTGCGCCACACTGCGCCAGGTGTATGATAGAGCCTTTAAAGGATTAACTTGGTTAATTTGGCAAGCCATTGGACAACAATGGTTAGTTCTGCCAAACGAAAAAACTATGCTAATAATATCCGCGTGTTAAGTCATGATGTATAGAATACGGTGTATGGGTCCAAGCCGCTGCTCATTTGAATTGAGAAAATATTCGTTTATGGCCACTTGTTAGTCACATCACACATTAAAGTGAATTATCTATAAAAATGATGGTGTACACAACAATCTCTGGGCTTGCTGTGTCACAGACATCAATATTTGAGCAATTTATTTAAATGTGCATCACTTTTTGGCCATCGGATATTATCAGTCTGTTTTAGACAAAAGCACAGTACAACTGTTGAAATAACATCAACAACACAGTTATTATTTTATTTAATTTGAGCCCATTCAAGGACCTGTGTTTGTAGGTTGCAGGCCTTGATACCATAGCTCAATTCAAGTACTTTCAAGAAGTGTGGGAACCCAGAATATCAAATCAACCATTTTTAAATGAAATAAAACTAATTGTTGGACCTTGTTCTGGAGGGTAAGGCAGTTTGCCGGTGTGTAAGGCCAGTTCCAGAGCCGGATCCTCCTGAGTCACGAACGGCTCCAAATGCAGAGGCAGAGACATGATGTACTGACCGATCTATAGACAAACACAGAGTCCAAGAGTGTCATTACAGTCAACATCTCTGGCTGCTGTTCGTCCTTGTAGGAGCGTCTGGTGATTGTGTTAAACATGGACTAACGAGGTCTTAATATTGTCTTACATTAGTGATGTACTCCTGCGGTGACAGACTGAAGGCCGGAAGATCATCTGTTAGCGTTTCACCCAAACTAGCAGAGCCGCGAGCCTTCAAATAGACAACAACACAATAAATCAAGCATGATGTTTTGCAGGTCTGCTTTACAATGCTGTGAAAACCAAGATTACTTCAGTAAATGTAAACTAAAACTATGATTGTATGGTTTTTGACTGTCCTGTTCTCCTGTGTTTTTGGATCCAATAACAGTGATTAAAATGTAATCGATTTCAGCATGTTCATACTAACATTTCCTGTTTAAAAATATAAATAAGGCTAAAACTACTGAAAAAAATGTTTTAAAGGGCACCCATGATGAAAATCATCGTTTGTAGGCTGTTTGGACAGAACTGTGTGTAGGTATAGTTTGTCCACAGTCAAACTGGAGTGATACAATTTCTCTTTTTTTAAAATAGGATCCAAATCCCTGCAATTTCGAGGCCCACCAAAATGCGATGTAGGAGTGCGGTTTCCCGCCCACCAAATTGATTGACAGCTGCATATTAACTTGGCTCAGTAGTAACACATATAATCCTAACCACTAGACAGAACGTGCGCAAAGCAACAGGGATTAAAAGATCTGTTCAGCTCTCTGTGATCAGCAGCACCTCAAAGGGCTCTATTTTGACGGTCCATGCGCAAAACGGAAAGCGCAGGGCGCAAACGCTTTCAGGGCATGTCAGAATCCATATTTGCTCATTTAAGGACGGAAAAATCCGCTTTGCGCCGTGGCGCATGGTCTAAAAGAGTTTATTTTCTTAATGAGTTATAGGTGTTGTTTTGTATTTGTGTTTTTTGTGCTCTGTTTCTCTGTGTTTTTTTTCTCTCTCTCGCTCTGTTCTCCCATATCTGCTTTCATGTATTATCAGGTTCTGTTCATTGGTCCATTCAGCTGTCAGTCAATCCTCCCCGGTTACATCACTCTTACGTCACATCCAATAAGCAAAGACCACCCGTGTTAAAAGAGCGCGCCAGACCACTCGCCTTCCCTTCCTTGCATTTTTCTCTTTCTCTGCTTTGTCGTTTGTTTGTATTTATCGCGTGCGTTTAGAAATAACCCGTCTAACTGTGTTTTGTTGTTGCTTGCTCGTTTCTGTGTGCACGTTATCCGTCCGTTATTCGTACATCGTTCTTAGTTTATCGTTGTTTACGAGGCTTGGACGAATCGGACAAGTAAGAAGGTCACGTGACATACAACACTTAGGACTACTCTGCTGTCTAGTACACTAGGTTAGGGGCGAGCGCCACGCCTTGTACTTTTTGGATAGATAGAGTAGAAAGTTAGGACTCGGAAGATCTTCGTGTGTTAATTATACTGTTTTTCACATAGTTAGTTAGCTAGATGCTTCTGGGGAGTTAGATTTATTTTGGGTTTTGTTCTTTTCATTTCTTTAGCGCCGCCCGCGTCCCTTCTGCCAGCTCTCTTGTTTTTTCCCCGTCTTTATTTGTCTCAGTGTTGTACATATTGTAAATAGTATATTTTTGTCCTACTTACTTTTTCTTTATTATTTTTGATTAATTCATTGTTGTTGTTCACTTTGGGATTGTAAATAAAAGCACACATTTTTTTGCCATTACTTTGGTTGTCTTTCCACTCATTCGCTGTTTATATAAATATATTTTAATTAAATAAATGTCAAACCCCACAACCCTAGACTAACATCAGGGGTTTGTAACAAGTGTGTTTTGAGAAAAAAACAATCAGAGTCTCATCTCCCATTCCCTTTAAGAGCCCGCTGCGTCAAACCATAAGCGCATTTGCTATTTACAGGACGTAAAGTATGTGTAAGTGGAAAAACTGAGCATTTCACAAGCAAACAGTTAACAGCTTTTTTAAACAGAAAACAGTTAAACAGAGCATCTACCGCTCAAGAATGAGAGATAATGGATCACTTTCACTCTTGGATAGGGAAACCTTTACGCACAGACATCAATTAGCCTATAAACAATTTATTTTGTTTGTTAAGCGCAAATATTCATTTCAAAACTATTTCTAAATTCAGTTCTAATTTCCAGCAAACGAATAAATGAACAATAATAACCAAGTGTGATCAAAAACCTGAGTTATATCCTAAAACACATGCTGTGCCCCATATGGTCTAAAACCTGACAGGTGGGCAAATCTAAGCTTGTTTTTAATAAACAAATATAAATATGGATATAATAAATAATACTGCTAATAATAATAACATTATACAAAAGCAAATTGTTATGAATGAACTGAAAAAGCCTCCGGAGATCAAGGCAAAAAAGCAGTGGATTGTCATATTTATGTAGGCTAGAAAATAATGTTTTGTAATATTTTAATCCTTTATATTTATATCCTATATCTATTCTTATTATATCCTATATATATCCATAATATTAAATTTTTTTTATATGTAAAGATATTTGCGTATTGCTCTACATCTTGTGTGTAGGCTATTAAGCAGTGTGTAAGCGAGGCGCAACTCTGCGCTGGAGTTTAGACCGGGTTTGTTTTGGTCTAATGAAAAATCTATTATAGTTTCTCGAAATAGCAACTCGCCAGCAGTGCGCCTCAGAACGCCTTCCTCTTTAGACCAGAACGCCTATGGACGCAAATGCATTTGCTATTTAAAGAGCGTGGCGCAACGCCTTAAAACCACTCTAGCACCAAGCTGAAACTAGCAAACAAGTATTGCCTTGCGCCACATTGCGCCGGGTGTATGATAGGGCCCAAAGACTAGTTTCAAACATTTTTAAAACATGAATGTCTGTAATGAAGTAAAGACGGTAAAAGCGCTATGTAATTTGTTATTCCAGAAAGGCTTTCATTTACTCCACAACAAATACATCAATTATCCAGAAGTTTATATTGTAGTATTTCTTTTTCTTTTCTGTCACTGTGCTGTTTATCTACATGGAAATGGAGCCACAGAGATCTCTCTGTATTGCTCTGACAGGCATGTTTGAACGGTGGGCAGGGAGAACCAGCTCATTTGCATTAAAGGCACAGATAACAAAAACAGCTACAGTGTGCTCAGAGTTAAAAATCCCAATGTTCAGAAAGGTATAATAAATAGTCTGATGGGTATTTTGAGCTGACCCAAAATACTTAGCTTAAACCTTGAAAAAGAGGTGAAATACATGCCCTTTAAAATAACAATAAATGAAAAATAAGTTTAAAATAGCATCGAAATAAAAACAGATTTAAAAATGCAAAACTATAATAGCTGTGGTGCAAACCGACCTCTGGTTTGTTGAGGAGGAAAAGCTGCTGTTTGATTTGCAAGAACACAGAGTCGAAGGCGAGCTGATTGGCTTGTTGGTTTAGACGCGTCAGAGCGGCGCGAGTCTCGGCCAATAAGCTGGAGTTTCCTGTTCCTTTCTCCTAAAACAAAAATCATACATGCAAAAAATAGTGTTTGCAATACTGATTTAATGACCTATCAAAACATCGATTTACTGATTACTATGGATTTTGAACATTGATTTTTACAAACATTTGACATAATGCAAGTACAAAAGTCAGCCAAATATATAACATTACTGTATTAGTCTA